GAGCAACCCCGTCCAAAAATCGTACGTTCCCTGGGCCCGCCAAAATTACCCGGCGGCTTTATCACGAAAATTCGAAAAAGCGGGCGAGTGGGTGAGAGAGAGCGAGAGAGGGAGAGAGAGGGAGAGAGACGAGAGAGGGAGAGAGGGCGAGAGAGCCCAAAAATATACAATCGCAGCCCTGGGAGGGCAAAGCGAAAAAAGAAAACACAAAACATATGAGTCTGCGGGGGGATGGCGGGTGAGGGATTTCCGGGCAGATTATAGGGGGAATTCCCCTCGGCTAATTCTCGCTGAATTTTGTGGCCTTGGGGGATGACTGGTGAGAGTACAAACACGGAGAAATGCTAAGAATTTTTTCCAGATTTTCTAAGGGTTTTTTCGCATAAAAAGACAAATCTGGCTGCCGCACTCCTTTTAAAAGTGCGAAACAGAAACTGATCTGACCTTGGGTTTTGGTAAAGCAAAAGCTGCTGTCACGACACCTTTAAACAGGTTAAAGCGGGGTAAAGGCATAAAAAAATCCCGAAATCTAGGCCCTAGTGAGTCCACACCTCAACCCCATCCTAGTCAGTCCACTTTTTTCGGGGGCTTGTCACCTGGCAACGTGCCCTCTGGGCATTTTGACGAGCCGGCGGGGGAGGATTTTCTAGGTGTAATTAGAGCGGTCTTGACAGGATTATTGAAGGGATTAGAAGCTTTCCTAAAGAATCTTGGCTAGCCTGCCCTTCCCAAAGAAGAATCTCTGCTAGCCTGCCCTTTCCCAAAGAATCTCTGCTAGCCTGCCGTTTCCTAGATAAACTCTGCTAGCCTGCCCATTCTTAACCCACTGTTCCGAAAAGCCGGTACTAGACAAAACGCACCGGAACCGAGAATTTTTGAACCCGCAAAACGAGGGCAAACGGTCATAAAAAGGGCAATCCCCGGGTAATAGTCATGGCGTGGGGTCCGATTGTTTCCCGTGTTCAACTCTGGCAGGTGTTCCCCAGATTTCATTGCTTCAAGTGGTGATTTCGGGGGTTTTGCAATATAAAATTCATCGCAAGCTAGCAGAGATTCTTTAGGAAAGGGCGGGCTGGCAGAGATTGACATTCTTTAGTCTAGTTCGGCGGCTCAATTTCCGCGCCCCTCAACCCAGAAAATTGATTCGATTGTTTCGCGGGCTGGGGGATATCCCCCAGCCATTCCCAAGACTGGTCGCCGTTTTGGTCTTTGGTAAAAAGCGCCCTCGAAGCCATAAGCCAACCATAAATAGCCATGAAAAATTACTGCCGCTGCGGGAAACCAGAAACTCTAGTTTTATTTATGGGGGGAGTAGGAAAATTATGATTTGTTCTGACTTTTTGGCTGTCTCTCTCTCTCGCGCTCTCTTTCTAGCTGTCCCTCTCGCTCTCTCTTTCTAGCTGTCTCTCTCGCGCTGGCTCTCGCTCTCTCTCTCTCTCTCTCTCTCTCTCTCTCTCTCTCTCTCTCTCTCTCTCTCTCTCTCTCTCTCTCTTTCTTCCTAGCTGTCTCTCTCGTTATTTCTCTTTCCCGCGCTCTCTCTCTCTCTCGCCCCTCTCTCTTTCTCTCCGCCCTCTCTCATCCCCCAAAACGAAAAAGGTGCCAAGAAAATACACCTACAAATTCCACTTTGTAGCTGAATCGAAACCACCATATTCGTGTGTCGTTTTCAGCCGATTTTCCCCAGTAGTTTTGTGCCCAAAATACAATCGCAAACAGACTACCGCGCGCAGTGTCGAGGGCCGAAATCGCCACGTAAAAAAAGTTCGTACGCCATTCATAAAATACCATACAATAAACCGGGCGGCGGGGGCGAGCTCAGGCGGGTGTTCGGGGTCAAAGAGGAGTGATGTCATGGGCACAAAATACTCTGACGATATGAAACCTGGCAGGGGTCGGCTAGCAGGGATTCTTTAGGAAAGGGCAGGTTAGCAGAAATTCTTAAGAAAAAATGGGAGGGCTAGCAGAGATTCTTTAGGAAAGAGCAGACTGGCAGAGGTCCTTCGGAGAAAAGATGACTAGCAGAGATTCTTTGGGAATCTGGGAATCAGGAATCAAAGAAAAGCGAATGCCGGAATTAGTGGCCCGTGGCCAGCGGCGTGCACGCTACAAAGCCCGGGCGCAAATACGCCATGTCGGAAAATGATCGACGAGAAACGTCGACCTAAGGAAGAGGCTGGCACACTCCCTTTAAAAAGTCCCAGCCGAGGGTGCGAACTGCATGAAGTTGCTGACGGCTAAAAGACACCGGAGCCCCATAACCAGGGTTTATGCACATCATTCTTGCAGTTTTTGAGGAGCGAGAGGGATAGAGAGAGAGTGAGAGAGAGGGAGAGAATTAGAGAAACAAAGAAACACAGCCACCATTCATCTTCAAAATGGAGAGCCTGCGGGCGGCTGGGATCACTTTTCCAGCGGGACAACTGTTGGCCGGAAGCCGCAAAGTCAACCCTGAAAAGAGAGAGAGAGAGAGAGAGAGAGAGAGAGAGAGAGAGAGAGAGGGGAGAGGGAGGTGCTTTAGGTGCCAGTAAGTTGACAAATGGCCCGGGGCCAGGGACAAAGTGAACGACATGAACGCTAAACGACCGAGGGATGGGGGCATGAAACCGGGTAAGCAAGCAGAGATCGTTTAGGAAAGGGCAGGCTAGTAAAGCTTCTTTAGGAAGCGCAAGAGCCAGGCGAAACCTAATTGTTGGTACAGCCGTGGATCCTAGCACGAAAATGATGTGTAAGGGTGCGAAATTTGAGGCCGCGCAAGATGGACGAGCGGGGGGCTAGGGTGTTAAACTGCTTTAGGAGCCAGATGTGTATCCTGGGTGGGATTGGGCTTAGGCTTCGGTTGGGCTTAAACCTGGCTTATACTTAGGCTTAGGCTTAGGCTTAGGCTTAGGCTTAGGCTTGGGCTTAGCTTAGGCTTAGCTTAGGCTTGAGCTTAGGCTTAGGCTTAGGCTTAGGCTTAGGCTTAGGCTTAGGCTTAGGCTTAGGCTTAGGCTTAGGCTTAGGCTTAGGCTTAGGCTTAGGCTTAGGCTTAGGCTTGGGCTTAGGCTTAGGCTTAGGCTTAGGCTTAGGCTTGGGCTTAGGTCTAGCCAATCTTGACGACCCTCTAAAGGAAAAAAATACCGAAAAATTTGAAGCTCGTCTCGACGGCATCGTCGTCGAGGTGGAGGACCGTGTCGGCGTCGTGGCCGATCGAGACGCTGCTACCTGAAAATCTTCCTGAAAAGAAAAATTCGTGGAGAGTAATAAATTGCAACTTAGACGTTGGTAGACGTACCACTCCTCTGTACGGGTCGAGGTGACAGCAGGGAGGGGCTCCGGATACGGTAGGTGCACTCGGTGCTGACCTAAGAAAGAGGAATATCAAAATTAGTGCTGGATCAAGAGAGAGAGAGAGAGAGAGAGAGAGAGAGAGAGAGAGAGAGAGAGAGAGAGAGAGAGAGGGAGAGAGGGAGAGGGAGAGAGAGAGAGAGAGAGAGAGAGAGAGAGAGAGAGAGAGAGAGAGAGAGAGAGAGAGAGAGAGAGAGAGAGAGAGAGGAGGGATCGCTCACCTCGGCATCGCCCAGCAAGGCGATCAGCTCTGAATTCATATCGTCATTCCTCTCTGAAACAAGTTGATGTAAAATTATTCGGCCAAAGGGGACGCAGAAAGGGAAAAATCATGCTAGCCGTCCATTCCCAAACAATCTCTGCTAGCCTGCCCTTTCCTAAAGAATCTCTGCTAGCCTCCCACCTGAAAATGATGTTCCAAAACGCCACCGAGTCTCTGACCTCGATTTGAGTATCTAATCCGTTTCGGCGGATCGGCCAGGGCATGGGGGCATTTTGTGTAAATTGAGAAGACAAACGCAAATAGTGTTTGTGCCGCTTCTCGGCAGCACTCAACTTTTTCCCCCGTGTCCCCTGGTTGCCCTTTCCTAAAGAATCTCTGCTAGCATGCCCTTTTCTAAGAAAACTCTGCTGGCTAGCCGGCTTCAAAATCAATTCTAGACTTTAGAAAAAATGAAAAAGTTGCTACTACTAGTGGTGCGCGAAAGGAACGGTATCGGAATGCGATCTATTTGCTTAGGGTCGGGTCGGGGGTTTCTTTTTCGTTTGAGTGTGGTTAAAGTGATGGTCTTCGCTAGGTTGGTAGCATCTCTCCCCGTCTCTCTCGCTCTCTCTCTCTCTCTCTCTCTCTCTCTCTCTCTATCTTTTGCTCTGGCCTCTTTCTTTTCTGTCTCGCTCTCTATCTCTCTCACTGTCTCCTTCTCGCTCTCTCTCGCTCTACCTCGCTCTCTTGCTCTCTCTCATTTCTGCCTCTCTGTCTCGCTCTCTCTTGTTCCCTCTATTTCTCCTTCACTCTCTCTCTCTCTCACTCTGTGATTATTCAAATTTTTGCGTACTCAGTTTTATTTAAGAAAAATCCATTTATTTTAGTTTTGACAATTATAACCACAAATTCTATATTTTTACTTGTGTAAATCATATACACAATGATGAATTATGCCCCGAATCACACAAAAAAGCCAAAAAAAAAACGGGAGAGGGACCGGAATGCAAACACACGTAGCGGGGGGGGTGGAACACCACGGGGGAATGGGAGTGGAAATGCACCTTGAAAACATCAAAAAAATCTAAACAAGGTTCGAAAAGCGTACGGGCCCGTAGTGGAGCGGAATTTTTAGGAAAAATTAATTTTAAAAATGGTTTAAACTATTAAAAGGATTGAAAAACTGAAAATTCAAATTTTGAGAAGAAGGTGAAAAAGAACCGTTGATTTCAATCCCTTTAAATTTTAAGCTACTGTATTGTTGAAAATTGTGCTTTCAAAACCCGCAAATCGGAATTACAGTAACGACAGTACTACAAAAAAGGAAAAAAAATCTACATTTTAAAGGGCTGGTAAAGCTCGGCGGATTTATGCTAAAAGTGAGGAAGAAATTAATCTTTTTTTGCAAAATTTCGGGAATATTTTGAAGCAAAGACTACAGTAAGACGCTCCGGCTACCGTAGTCCGCCCTCTAGTCAACGGTGCGGTGTCGGAAAACGGATGGTTGATTCGGAGGGCGATCCGGGGACTTTGTGAGGCTTTCGTCGGAATCGAGATGGGTAACGACGTGGATTCCCTAAAAATAAAGAACTAGGCGTTTCCTAAAGAATTTCCGCTAGCCTGCCCTTTCCTGCAGAATCTCTGCTAGCCTGCCCTTTCCTCAAGAATCTCTGCTAGCCTGCCGCTCCTAAAAAATCTCTGCTAGTCTGCCCATTCCCAAAGAAACTTTTCTAGCCTGCCCTTTCCTCAAGAATCTCTGCTAGTCTGCCCTTTCCTAAAGAATCTCTGCTAGCCTGCCCTTTCCCAAAGAATCTCTGCTAGCTTCCCAATCCCTCAAAATACCTCATTCTCATCGCTGCTCCGCGAGATTCCCTTTTTACGATGCCTCGAGGTGTGCGGAAGATCCATCTCGCTGTCCCGATCGCGCTCCAGCTCCGTCAGCTCGCAGTCCGCCATGACGCCATTGTTTTCGAGCTGCAAATTTGCGCCTAGCAAGACTTTAAAGGCGCAGTGAAAGAGGTACGAATTTTCCTAAAGAGTCTCTGCTAGCCTGTCGCTTTCCAAAGAATCTCTGCTAGCCTGCCCTTTCCATACCTCAGTCATAGAGCCGGGGTGATGCGATGAGGACAGCTTTGGCCGTCTCGGGAGTTGGACCTGCGGGATGCTCAGCTGGCTATCGTCGAAGGAGTGTTTCGTCTCGTCTTCTTCGGTGATGGCTCCGCCTGTCATCTGGAAAAGAATTTTTAATGGAATTTTCCAAGGGCCCGGGAAGGCGGAGAGAGCGAGAGGGACCGAGAGAGAGAGAGAGAAAGAATTTTTCCGTCTTAAAGGGACTATGACATCAAATTTACCTCATCGTCGCTGTCCCGCTTCCTCAAGTCGGCGGCCAGGCTGATCGAGTCGGTGATGGTGGTGTATTCGTCGTGATGGCGCCGCCGGAACGACATGCTAAAACTGAGGATTAGCGAGAGAGATAGAGAGAGAGAGAGAGAGAGAGAGAGAGAGAAAGTGAGTGAGTGAGAGAGAAAACCCAAAAACCAACCTGATCGTGTCCCTCCTCGGCAGGTTCGAGCTGTTCACGTTGAAGAGCGGCTGGGTGGGCCCCAGGTTCGAGAGAGAGCCGACTTTAAAGGGATCGTGAAGTGCCGGGGAGAGGAGACCAGAATCTGCATCGATGTTGAGGGATGGTCCTGGAATCAGAAGCGTTTTAAAGGGACTGGGACAGCCCTAGCCGAAGCCTAAGCCTAAACGATCCAACAATTCGACTAAGCACCAACCCGAGTACGTCGTAGTCCTCTTCCTCGCCCTCGTGCTCCCCTCGCGTTCGAGCAGGAGCGGATGCGTGGTCGTACTTTGTACACCGGCCGACTGGGGGGCCTCATCTTGGGTGATGCTCTCCTTGGGCCCAGGGATGATGAAGGAATGGGCCGGTGATAGGCCTGCGGCACGTTGGCCGCCCTGCAGGGCCTGGATGATGACCAACGGCAGCGAGGTGGTCAGCTGTCGGATCATGTCCTTGAGCTCGCCCTGGAGAGGGGCAATTTAAGCGAGAGAAAGAGAGCGAGAGTGAGAGAGAGAGAGAGCGAGAGAGAGTGAGATAAGTCTAGAGCACAACTTTCGAAAAACCCAAAACTTACAATCTCCCCCTCCATCATCTCCACCCGCGCCTCCATCCCTCTCATATCTTCGCGATGCACCTGGTCCTTCGCCGCCATGTCGTTAATCCTAGCGAGCATCAGATCGGTCCTAAAAGTCACGTAAAAAAATCGAAATGGCGCCGACGACTTCGGCAAGTTCAGCCGGCTCAACCTCACCTCTCGGACGTCCTAAAAATCAGCCGATCGTTGCTGCTGTTCCGCGCGTGATCTTTCAGCCGGCCCAGCTCCTCCATGCAGTCCTCCTCGAAGTCGTGCAGCTTTTCGACCTGAAAAATTAGATTAGTGGTGTAGAAATTTGCAAAGAATCTCCGCTAGATCGCCTTTCCTAAAGAATTTTTGCTATCCCGCTCTTTCCTAAAGCATCACTGCCAGCCTGCCCTCACCTGATCAGCCTTCAAAAACAGCTTGAGCGAGAAGTCGAAGACGTCCTTCTCATCATCCACCGACGACGGGAGATTCCGCCTCTTTCGGCACCATCTCCACCTCACATATTTGAGCAGCATCCACAGGTGCCAGAAGAAGGTGAGCGGCGGCGGGAAGAAGGGCGTCGACTCGTACTCCATCACCTGGAACGTTATGGGATTTGAAACCTAAACCTAAGCCTAAGCCTAAGCTTAAAGCTAAGTCGAAGTCAAGCCTAAGCCTAAGCCTAAGCCTAACTTAAGCCAAGCCTAATCCTAAGCTCCACAAACCTGTCTGTAGCGCTGGAAGAGCCAGATCTGCTGCGAGAACTCCTCGGTTTGGTCGAAAATGTGACTAAAAAGGAACTTTTAGAAAATTTAGCACTTCAATAATTTTTTGGGGCATCAGATTTTGTAGGGTGAAAAATTCTACATCAAAAATTGTTTTTAAAAAATTCAAGACGGTTACGGTAGGCGGAAAAATCGAGCGCAAGCGAATTGAAATCGCTTGAGCCGAATTTTTTACCATCAGGTCGATTCAAAAAGTGTTTTTTCAAGGCAGGGTCGTGCTCAGAATTTGCCACGTACTTGAACGTGGCGATCAGCATGCTCATCAACAGCACGTTGGCGATGAGGAGGAAGAAGGTCATGATGATGGGCGGGATCCAGTGGCCGGGGACGCAGTTCGACGTGTTGTTGCCGGTGTACTGCCACAGGGAGGTGCCGTCTTCGAGGTGTTGATCCCAGGCTGGAAAAGGGGAAGGTTACGGTAGAAGAGAGAGACAAAGAGACAGAGAGAGAGATTGAGAGAGAGAGAGAGAGAGAGCGAGTAAATGACCGAAACCCACCATCATCTCCGCACTGGTCAATCTCATCAGCGTACACCTCTCTTTACAGCATGAAGTACAGCTTGTAAGAAGATGTTCCTAAAAATTGCGTATTTCGAAAGGACTAGGACCTAAAATGACTTTCACAAAAGTCTGACTCGTTACCTCAACAACAGCGGGTGCCACTCCTCATTTGGGTAGGTGATCGATTGACGAGCCAGTCCAAAGGCCAGCAGGGAGACGCACAACATCACGATCACGTACACCATGCTTTGGATCTGGAGCGAATTGGTTTACAATTGAATCCGTGACGCACCATTCTGCCAGCCATCGTGATGTAGGGACCGAGCTTCGGGTGGACGCTCATGTAATCGAGCAGCTTCATCACCCAGAGTACCGCATTGCAAGCCAAAATAACGCGGCCCCAGGGTCTAAAAGGGGTGGCTAGCAGAGCTTCTTTAGGAAAAGACAACTAGCAAAGGTTCTTTAGGAAATTTAAGTTCGAGCTTACCCTCCAGCCGTCCGTAGCGCGAAGCCGATGACGTAGGTGAACAATGCGGCCGTCGTTACCGTATTCCAGTAGCTGGCGAAGAAGTACTTGCACTTGCGTGAACGGCTCGATGTCCATCATGATGAACTGGAAAAAGTAGATGACGATCACGCTTGAGCTTAGGCTTAGGCCCAGGCTTAGGCTTAGGTTTAGGCCTAGGTTAGGCTTAGGCTTAGGCTTAGGCTTAGTTACCTACCTTCCTGGTGTGCTCCATACCGAACGACACGACGTAGGCGGTCAGTAGCCACTCGAGCCAGGTGGGTTTTGGCGGCGTTCTGAAGGAAATAGTTGGACAGTGAGGGGAGAGAGAGAGGGAGAGGGAGGCCGCATAGACAACCCACTTGATCAGCAACACATGGGTGAGCGCGGCGAGGAAGAAGCAGAACGCGATGGCCCCGCCAGAAGGTGGTGATCGGTGCCGCGTAGAATTCGTAGAGACGGCGTCGGAATTTGATTTTGCGCTAGAAAGAGGGATGAACCATGATTTTGAAGCCCACCATTTTCTGCACGCCCCTGACCATCCACGGCTTACGGCCGGTGGCTCCCTCGCTGGTTTCCACCGGTTTTGGCTTGCGTTTCTTGGGTTCTTCTGGAAATTGGAAAAGGTTAGATGGCGGCTTAGGCTTAGGCTTAGGCTTGGGCTAGGCTTAGGCAGGCTTAGGCTTAGGCTTAGGCTTAGGCTTAGGCTTAGGCTTAGCGTGGACTAGCTTGATTCAAACTCACCGCTTCCCCACCAGTTCCACCCAACTCTTCTCCGGGCTTCGGTCCTTCACTTCCGGTTGGGCGCTGACTGGAATAAAAGATTTTAAAGTACCCGCCAGCTGTCGCGCTCTCTCTCTCCCTCTTTCTGTCTCTCTCTCGCTCTTTCTCTCTCGCTCTCTCTCTCTCTTTTTCTCTCTGGCTCTCTCTCTTTCTCTCTCTCTCTCTCTCTCTCTCTCTCTCTCTCTCTCTTCTATCACTCTCTTTCTCTCGCTCTCTCTCTCTCTCTCTCTCTCTCCCTCTCAACATACCCGACTTCATCTCATATCTCCCATTCGCCATCCCGGCCTCAATCGACGCCACCGGATCGTCTCGCTCCTTCACCACCCGCGACGGCTTTTTCTTGTGGTTTCGATGGAAAAGCTGAAAAATAGCAAGTTCTCGGCGTACGGTAGGTGCTATAAAATACCGGAGAGAGACCGAGTATTCAAAAAAACGACAAAACTCACGCTGCCCAACCCGACCGTATTTATCGACTGCATGCTGCTGTGCGCTGTTCGTTTATGGTGCGGTAAATGGGGCTGAAAAATCGCTGTGAATTCGGCGGTTGCAGTAGCTCCATGGAGTACGGTAAATTCGGCATTAATTTTATTTCTATATTAATCTTATTTTTCAATTTCCTGGTGTCCGTCTCCCTTTAAAACCGCGGAAAATTGGATATCTCTCTTTAAACAGCTGTTGAACCTTCAAAATTACCATATCGTCCTCACTGTCGGTGTTTTCCGAGCCGCTCGACGAGTCTTCGGAAGATGACGATGAGCTCGATGACAAGGTGTCGTTCATGTCGTGCTAAAAGTTGGAGTAACAATCTTGTTTTCTCGTGCTCTCTCTCACTCTCTTTCATTCTCTGTCTCTCACTCTCTCGCTCCTCTTTCTCTCTTTCTCTGCATAGCTCTCACCTCGTGTTCAGCGGCCGTCTGGGGTTGGAGCAGCAGCTCTTCCTTGGTCTTGAACTCGAGCGTAGGGATCGTGGCCGGCAAAAATAGGCCCATCAGCACCTTCGCGTTCGAGTGGCTAAACCGAGCTTTAGTGGCATGCTCCCTTTAAAATTATCCTAAGCTAAAGCCGAGGCCAAGCCAAAGCCAAGCCTAAGCCAGCTGACTCGCTTCCTTTAGAACGCCAAAAATGCTCAGAATCACCTCCTCATCCTCAGCCCTCCGTGCCACAGGTCGGCGAGCAGTATTTGGCAGCTGAAATTTGAAATTTTAGAGAGAAAAATAAAGAGCTTGATAATCCAGTAATAAACGTACCACGGGTGCGCCAAGAACTGCTTGTTGTTGACGATGACGGCCAGCGAGAGGCAGGTTTCGTGGCCCCATTGGCGCAGCTCGTAGGTGAGCAGCTACAAGAATTGGAGCTGAGCGACGGATAGTGAGAGAGAGAGAGAGAGAGAGAGAGAGAGAGGGAAGTGAGCCGAATACCTGTAGCGCAATCGCATCGTCCTGAGTGTAGATGTGGTCAAGCAGTTCAAGGGACAGCACTCGGAATTCTCTGAAAATGCACTTTAGAAGAATGGCTTGCCAATCCCTTTAAAAGGAGTTTCATGCTCTATCTTTCTCGCTCTACTCTCTCTCTCGCTCTTTGATCAAAACCCACTCTGCATATTTCCGCAGCTCCTCGCAGATCTCCACCTCCAAGTAGTCCTCAGCCGCTTCCTTGGCCAGGCTCTTGTAAAGTCGTGAAGCCACCAGGGCCTAAAAAAGGGTTTAGGTTTAGCTTAAGCTTAGGTTTAGGCTTAGGCTTCGACTTAGACTGGCTTAGGCTTAGCTTAACAACCTTACCTTGGCCAACGCTTCCTCCCCGTGCTCCCACATGCACATCGCCATCTCCTGCCGCTTCGTGAGCACCGCCCAGAGGAGCAGCTCGGAAAACGGGTACCGGAACTCGTCGCCGGCCTTGTCGGAAGAGGCTCCGGTCGTGGATAGGTCTGAGGTGGAGGTTTAGCCCCAAAAAATGGGAAAATACCGTCGTCAT